CACTATATCATATAGCTGCCATAGGAACGATCGGTCGAAAATTAAGTTTTTGTATGAAAAAAACATTTTGTTTTTCAAGATATCTTGACCAAACTCGGCATTTATTAGTTTTACTAAGCTCCTCATATATATGCAAAATCCTATTAAGATCGGACCACTATATCATATAGCTGCCATAGGATCGATCGGTCGAAAATTAAGTTTTTGTAAGAAAAAACATTTTGTTTTTTAAGATATCTTGACCAAACTCGGCATTTATTAGTTTTACTAAGCTCCTCATATATATGCAAAATCCTATTAAGATCGGACCACTATATCATATAGCTGCCATAGGATCGATTGGTCGAAAATTAAGTTTTTGTAAGAAAAAACATTTTGTTTTTTAAGATATCTTGACCAAACTCGGCATTTATTAGTTTTACTTTACTCCCCGTATATGTGCAAAATCCTATTAAGATCGGACCACTATATCATATAGCTGCCATAGGAACGATCGGTCGAAAATTAAGTTTTTGTATGAAAAAACATTTTGTTTTTCAAGATATCTTAACCAAACTCGGCATTTACTATTTTCCCGGTACTTCTTAGATAGAGGCAAAGCACTATGAGCATTATGAAAAGGTTGGGTCTGCAAGGGTATTAGATCTTTGGAGTGCCGAAGATAGCCCTTCTTTCTCGTTCTTAATTTATATTTGTTGCTACTAAAGCAAAAGAGCGTGAAGCGCGAGCTGAATTTGGTGTTGGAATAGGAGGGTGCAGAGCATTCCCTAGTCGGCAGTTCCCGACTAGAACCTCTTATTTGCTTACTGCTATCATTGTTTATTTTATTCGTTATTACCAATCAATAATAACAAATAAAAAATGTAGGAAATAAATGGGAGCCCATAATAATAAATAAAACCTCTCTTTTGTTTTGATTGTTTTGTCGAATACGATGCCATATAATGTTATGTTTATGTGGGCGAATATGTCGATTGGGTAGAGTATTTGGCTAGTTGTCAGCACATTAAGCACGAGATTTGAATTTCACGTTCGTAAGAAGACGGAAATCCGAATGATTTATTTTTAATTAGCTTCTGAGTTTCCAAGGCTAGCATTTCATTAATTTGTTGATTTAATCGCCAAAGGGACGATAGGGCCGATGAATGTGTTTCGACTACCCGATTTAAGGCGCGTGGGCATAAAATCAGGATATGGTAAGGGTATGCACGTTTTAAAGTCCTCGTAGCCTTCAGAGGGTCACTATTTCGATTTTCGTATCTTGCACGTAATAGTAAAGCTATATTCTGCTTCAAGGCTTTTTAAAATAATTCCGATCCACTGACTTCGGCTACTAGTGCAGTGTAAAAACCAATTTGTTTAGGCGGTTGATTTAAAGATCGTGTGCTTTAGTTTTTTTATTACTTGAGAAATTCAATCTGTTAGGATCAAATGCATCGGATAACTTGGTGGCTTCTCCCCCTTTACAGGACCACGCCAACTGATCAATGTGCCGAGTTGGCTGACCGTTTAGTTAACTATTTTGATTACGATGAAACTGACACGGATTACGGCATGGGCAAGCTTTAGTAAACAATTGTGTTAGAAAAGGAACAATAACTCAAAATTAACTAGTGACAATTTATGAAATAGCCTTTGGCTCTATTATGGTTGGAGCTATTCGTCAGCAAGCCAAGGACATGTCACGTATAGGGTTATGGTCAGGTAGATGGATAAACTCAAAAGTAACTTCTGCAACTTTTGGTTTCCCAAGGATAAGCCATATAAGATGGTCGTGCGTTGATTACATTACTGCAGTTTGCACCATTGGATAAAATAAGAAATGCCAAAGCCCAGGATTGAATGCGGGAGCTCCCGACTAGGGGATACCCTGATACCCTCTTCCAACATCAAATACATATATATATAAAAACAGGATATCGATATCGATTTTTATCGAATGCTAGGAAACGGAGTAAGTTATCGATTATCGGAAATCAACTCGTACTGCGCGGGATCTAGGAGCACCTACATCTAAAATTTCAAGTGTCTAGCTCTTATAGGTTCTGAGATCCTTGATGCTGATAAAGAATATATATACTTAATGGGGTCGGACAAGATTTTGCACAAATACAATATACCCTTATACCCATTTTTAATGGGTTCAGGGTATACAAATTAAAATGAAATAAAAATATAAAATTAAAATATTTAATAGTAATATCGAGCCTATGAGCAAGCATAGCGCATTGCAGAGCGTTGGACACATCACATCCGATGTAGCCAGAAACACATTAAATCATCCTGTCCCCTGCCTGATGTACAAGAATAACAAGCAAACGTGTCACAAAACTGAGTCATGCTTTCCAGAGTGTTCACATGGCCAGTCCTGTAAATAACCAGGCAGGCCCCTGCTATAAGGGGTAACGCCTTCAACACCACTACATCACAGCACTCGCTACAGGGTTATTAACGTTTCCCCACTAAGAAGAAAGAGAGAGACAAGCAATAACAGCCAAGTCAGCAACAACCCCAACAACAGAAACTACTACGCCCACAGCGTTCTGCAGAAAGCAGAGAGTGTCATGTAATCTAATACATCCCGAAGCAATAGCTCGTCATAGCCCCAAGGCCCAGTTAAAGCTCGATTGAAGCGACAACAACAGCTGCAGCAGACAATCATAAACAACAACAGCATTGCCAGGAAACACTTAATGGAAGTAATGCTGAGTTATTGTATGCTAAAAAGTAATGACTAACGCCATTGACAGATTGGCCGATAAGGAGGCTAAGATGTTGGGACTCAAAATGTAGTCCTCAGTCTTTTCACCGCTCTGCTATCAAAATAACTTTTTATACATCTTGGTCTGGAATGCTAACGGCATTTCAGGAAAAAAAGCATTTCGTGCACAGCACAACTGCCATTCTAAAGCCGATTTTGCTCGCCTTATACGAAGATTACATCTGATTTTACTACTCGCGCCAAACGAGTGTGCGAGTATGGGGCAACAAACAGGTTGCCAGAATACCTCAACCTGCAAGTACAAGAATATCAGCTACACCTTCCGCAGGACGGAAGGGACGGATCACGAGAGTAAAGTAACGTGGTGTCTTCCTGGATAAGCGACTAATGTAGACCCCAAGTCTTAGCCTTATTAATCTTAAGAACGTCCCATCACCCAGCTGAAAACACGACCACACCTAATCCTGCTATAGTAGTAATAACCCATGCAGATCCCTTGGCCGCTTCCTAGCAAAACAAATTAAATATATATATATATAAAACATTTTATGCGAGACGCATACAGATAGACATGGCTATATCGGCTGTCGATACTGATTAAGAATATTTATACATTATGCAAGCAGACACGTCTTCTTTTACACGCTACACATTTTAGGCTAAAATAACCATCAAATTTAGAGTAATCATTTCCGCCTATATATTCCGCCCATATATCTATATATAAAGCTGTATATATATATATATATATATATATATATATATATATGTGTATATATGTATATAAATGTCCTGACTGACTGATTGATAATCAACGCACAGCCCAAAATATAAGAGCTAGGAAGCTGAAATTTTCTCTGTAGTTATCTTATGTGATGAACGTGCACGTTAAGACGGGATTTCGGGGAATTCCACCCGCAAATATGGAAGAATCACGAAGAGCGTTTGTATGAAACTTTTTTGTTTACTATCCGATTGGCCTCAAACTCAATTTTAAAGTTCTTTGTTCAAATTCATTTGAGGAGTGTTTCACACTTTTCCAAAAATGTATTCCTCGTTGGTGGAAATGGGGGTCACAGATTTGGTGGGTGACGTTTCTTGCTCAAATTCACTTTCAAAGCTCTATATGAAAAACCATTTGAGACGTGTTTCACATTTTTCACAAAACCTTAACTCCTTCGGTAGAAATGCGATTCAAAGATTTTTTGGGCGAAGTTTTAAGTGGTGTCCGATTTGCTTCAAACTTAGTTTTAAAGCTCTACATAAGAACTTAATGAAAATTTGGAAAATTCTACCCACAACAGTGGGTAATTAGCGAAAAATGTTTGCATGAAACTTTTTTGTTAATCATCGGATCGGTCTCAAACTTATTTTTAAATTTCATCGCTGAAATTCATCATTCGGAAAATCCATTCCTCTTTGGTGGAAATGGGAGTCAAGGATTTGGTGGGTGGCCTTTTGCCTTCTGCCTGGATCTACATAAAAAATCATTTGAGATGTGTTTCACATTTTTTGTAAAATCTAAGCTCCTTCGGTGGAGAGTGTATATTCAAGTAATTTTTTCAGAATTTTAAGATGTGTCCCGTTTGCATCAAAATATTTTTCAAAGCTCTCTATAAGAATATAATGAATACGTGTTTCAGCGACTTGGGAAATTGCACTCGAAACAGTGCTAAAATGACGGAAAACGTTTGTATGAGAGTAGTTTGTTTACTGTCCGCTCAGTTTCAAAATCATTTTCAAAGCAATTCGAGAACATTGATCTTGTAACATAAGTGCCACGGGCAAGGCCGGGCTATATCCGCTAGTATATATATATATGTATATATTATGCTAGCTTCTAGTACTAGCTCTTATAGTTTCTAAGATAATTGTGTTCATACATACAGACGGACGGACAGACAGGCAGACGGACATGGCTAGATCGACTCGGCTGTTGATGCTGATCAAAAATATATATACTTTATGGGGTCAGAGATGCTTCCTTCTGGCTGTTACATACATTTGCACAAATACATTATACCCTTTTTTCCCATTTTCAATGGGTTCAGGGTATAATAAAAAACAATTTATGAAAAACTATACACACATCTACTTCGTAGTGGATGCATATATTTCTTTTTATATAAAACAACATTGAGATCACGTTGTTAATAGAGACAATGCCAGTATTTATTTTGAGTACTTCTGCTTTCACGATTGGTTATAGTTTTTGATTATTAATATTGTTATTTTACTTAAGCATTTTAGTTAATAAAGCGATGTAGGATAAACGCACCATATTCTGTATTATGTGAGTTTTGAAAGGCGTCCACATATGTATCCTGCGCTAATGACATATCCGATGAAGAAGCACGCACTAAAATGTACCCGACAAGCCCGAATAAAATTACAAAATATCTATACATTTTTTCGTCGCTTCAACAAATGTGTTGAACTGTTTCCAAAACTCAAATGAACCGCGAACACTCCGACTGGTATGTTTTAAGTCACGGATGTAAGACATACATATTATTATTATTTCTTTTTGATTTCTTCATTTTCTTTTTTTTTTTTTTGTATGAATTGGATTCATTGTGCGGTTTCGGAAATACTACTTATGTATGCAAGAGAGTGCTGCAGACCTAAGACGTGCTTTACAGTTTTCTTGGTACGTGCAACAGCCGAATCAAACTTTTTTTTTTATTTATGGCAAGGTACTAAACTTTCACTAACCAATTTAAGAATTTAAGTTGTTATTGTCGACAAATTATTTGTAAATGAAAAGGGAAAATATTTCTCTACGTGTCCCAACAAAATAAAACAAATGCATATACCCTATTGTACCCATTTCCATAACCTGTAAGTAACAAAATGTATAACCACTACCCAAACAACATATAAACTGGACAATCAGAGGACGGCGATGGGGTCTCTCGTTTTCTGTGCGGCTGGTCCAAAGTCGCCTTCGTTTTTTTTCGGGTTCGAGACTCGCTTGCACGGTCAGGCAGCAAGAGAGTAAGAAATGCATATGACTTATGCGATAAAACGGCATTGCTATATATTCCCTCGCACTGCAGGAACTTGCTTTGGCTTACTCTCAGTGCTCTTTCAATTTGTGTATTTACTGTTGTACTCTCTGAGTGTGTATATGTCCGCACCAGCAAAAATGACCACAAATTCAATTATTCTTAAAATTCAGTGGCTTTCTTCCCTTTTAAAGGGACGAGCAATATGAAATAATGAACGGGTTTCCCACATCGTTGTGAAATTTTTGCATTTTAGCTCGTTATTATTGGAAAGAGTACCTAAGCGTTGCTTGCATATTTTGTATATGTATGGAACAACTTTTGCGCTTGCCTATTGCTTGCCTGCCTGCCTGTCCCTAGCAAATTTGACAAGATTAATAGTTTTTGTGATTTCTGTATTTCGGATTAGTGGTATAACCAAGAGATGTAATGCAGCTGTGTAAATATAAAAAAAGAGGCATATGCTATATACTATATTATTAAGAAATTATATTTCATATTTTGCATAAATACTCAATAAGTTGATTTAATTTGTGAATGTGTGCGAATTTATGCTTGAACTTTTGACAAAAGGTGATGGCCTGCAGTTTTTTAGTTACAGTTATTTTTCTTATCAGATATAAAATAATAATTACCACTAAATAAAGGCAATCATTAATGAAGCATGTCCAGACACGTGGTGGCAGATTAAGTCTTTTATTATAACGTGTTGGTCATTTAATTCTTGAACATTACTTATTGCTTACTTCATTTCTCATAAGTACCTATCTTGGATGCTGTTAATGGATCCCACATAACTATGGGTATTTCTTTAACATTTCGTTTGTAAGAGGAAATAATGGTTTTCTAACATTCTGATTCTAGCTGTACAGTCAGCTCCGATCGATAATACTCCTTGCCTTGCAAGTTCACTATTTCTGGTGGTGTTTTTTTCACAGTGAATTCTATCTGTCGCTACTATCTCATAGCTATTAATCAAGTATATAAACCCATTTATGCTGTCAGTAGTATAATCCACAATTTTAATGCAATTGACTTTTTGAAAATACACAAATATTCTATACCACTATCAGATTCTGTAGAAAATGTCATCAATATCAGTTAAGAAACACCACAGTTATTAAAGGAAACGTGTTTTGGCTTTCCAAATATAAGCAACATCCAGCGAAAATTCCAAGAATTTCTGTCCCCTAGTCCCCTAGAGCTGCTGACTAGACCCTCTTACTTGTTTCTTATTGGTTATTTCGTTGTTATAGTTCGGTCTTTGCTTTTAATTCCGCAATTCGTGTCTGCGTATAATTGAGTAACAAATTGCAATGATCCTCAAACCCATGGAGTTTCTCGCAGACAACTCTCTTTTTATACCCTGAACCTTGTCCAAATCCAAATGTAACAGGCAGAAGGAAGCATCTCCGACCCCATAAAGTAAATATATTCTTGATCAGCATCAATAGTCGAATCGATCTAGCTATGTCCGTCTGTCTGACCGTCCGTCCGACCGTCCGTATGTATGAACGCAAGCATATCAGAACCTATAAGAGCTAGAGATTTGAAATTTTAGATGTAGGTCCTCCTAGTGCCTGCGCAGATCGAGTTTGCTTCGGATAATCGATAACTTACTCCGTTTCCAAGCAATCGATAGAAATCGATATCGATATCCTGTTTTTTGGGCAATTTTGGTAAATAATAAGAGCTAGAGTCACCAAACTTGACATATAGCTTCTAAAATAGAATATATATTGCATTTGATGTTGGAAGAAGCGGGTTCAGGTTATCCCCTAGTCGGGAGCTCCCGACTAGAACCTCTTACTTGTTGGTAATAGTTTGCTTCTGTTCTGCGTCTGTGTCGTAAAATAGGACCAGATTCCAATGGGATGTTACTATATCTACCTCGCCCATTGGGTCTAGATATATTGCTGACGAGCTATTAATTTTTTCTATTGCTCATTTTCTTTCTCGTTCCCTTAATGGAGTTGTGATTGATACTTGGCAGAATAGCATGAGTTTCATCATCATCGTTTACCCTAACTTTGAGATTTAAGGCCTCTTAGAGCTTCTCCTTTCATCTTTATTATTTTCCATCTGCGCTTCAGATGTTAAAATGTCCTGCATCATCTACTCCTGTATTTAAGAACGGGAGAGATACCGTTATCCTATATATCAGGAAATTTCCCAATATTTTTTTTACTGTGCCTACTACATCTTAAACATTCATTGAGATATTTCTTTATGGGATTTCTTAATCCGACAATTCCGTATTTTCTTCGGATATGATTTCTTATTAGGTTAGTTTCTCCAAAGACAACATAAACACTAAGTTGAGTAACGCCCATACATTTGAATGCGACGCAAAATTTCTAGCCTGGCCTTTCATCTGGCCTTTGAGGCTTCGTACGGGATGCCTGCCGACTGGTTGTTCGTTCTCCAAAGACCAGACGAACGAATGCCGAAGTCGCGGCTTACTGATGCTGACACGAGCTACGAAGTTAGTCGCCAGCCTGCCTTCAGCAAAGCTGTTCGATGCTGCTTTGCGTCGCTTCGTAACCGAAGTACATTGAGCGAAAAAGTTTAGAACTTACGATCGACGCAAAGTGCTTGTGCTTTGTCCATGAAATGCATGCTTTATTCAAATTATATATTACCCTAGATATTAACGATTAATTTTACAGGAAAATTTAAGAACTTATATAATTTTTACACAAGGCGGTTCTTGCGCAATAAGTATGTTAAAAAAATAGCACACATAGATTGATTTCTCTTTTCTTTTTGTACAGTGTATGCTCGAGAAAAGTTCTTGTCTCAGCCAGTAGCGTGCGTGCACCTTGCGTTGCATGCGTGAATTATACATGCATAAGAACTATAAAGTATGTATGTACATATGTGTTGTTATTCACTGCTCTGGCTTTAGCTGGCAAGAAATTAATTTTGTTAGTTTTCTAGCGCAGATCATGACCTATCCCAAACTTGTGTTGATATATGAATGCATTTTGTGTACTGAGGTTGGCTCCGCAGAAAATATGTATTTCTAAGTCGATGCAAATATTTACATAATTTCTTTAAATTAAATTAATATTATTTTTATTCTCCAATTAAGAAATAAAAGAGTGCTAAAAAATACAATTACATTTCAAGTCGACCCGAAGTTCATATTTAGTTATGACCCCATTATAATTATAATGGCCTCCTCGCGATGTTCCCATCGTTCTTTTTTCTTTATAATTCGAACAACAAAAATAATAAAATAAAAAAAATAAAAATTAATTTTATGTATCTTTGAAAACAACAAATTTGCACTTTTATTTCCTTAATTTATTTTGTGTTACTTAAAAATAATAATAATTTAATTAATAATTTCAAATATAAAAAATTACATAAATATTTGCATCGACTTAAAAATACAAATTTTTTTGTACGGAGCCAACCTCAGTACACAAAATGCATTCATATATCAAAAGAAATTTTGGGTAGGTCGTGATCTGCGCTAAAAAATTAAGAAAATTGTTTCTTTGCCAGCCAGAAACTTTGCCAGAGCAGTGGATAACAACACATTCAAATATGTTGTTATGTATGTATATTCACACGCATACAAACATAATTGCTTGCACGGCCCTCATAGAGCCGAAGCTGAGAACAAATTCTATTTTTAGCTTTTTCGTTCTCTCAGCTGTGAGAGCGCAATGCTACAGATTTCGTTTTCCTTCTCAATTTTCAAAAAATCAAGCTGCATAGTAGCATTTTGTTGTATGGCGTTACTCATCTTAGTGTTTATATTGCCTTTGGTTTTTCCATGTAACGTCTCTTTATTTGGGTCTCTTAATATAAGAGAAGCCATGTGAGCCTTGTCTAAACTGATTGGATGTTTAAAATTGAATTACGAAGTCTACCTTCAATTCTTAATGTCCCATATATGGGTTTACAACTAATATTTTACTTTCTTTTAATTTCTTTTTTTTGACGTAAGCACTTTATTTCTGTCATAAATTTATTTTTTTTGTCCTCGCTTAAGTAACATTATACTTTTCCTTAAGATGAGATGGAAACACTTAGATGCAAGACGAATTGTCCGAAGCTATTAATTACCTTTCCCTTGGGACAAGCGCGTCCCACCGCCAGCCACCACGTGGCAACGCTACGAGAGCCGGGAAACCAGCTAGCTAGAGGTTTGCCTCTTGTTAGCCCAGAACTTAGGGATGTGTTGTAGGTCTAATCCGAGAGACGCTCGAAGGAGTAGATCTTATTAGACAAGCTATGGACAGCCCTGACAGGGTAGAAATTTTGTCCGATATACCACTCGTAAGAGAACCTGAAAGCGAAGTCCAGAAAGTCCTAGAGATAACGCGATTAATGAGGGATTCTTCCGGGGATATAACTACAATTAGCTCCTAGAAGAAAAATGCAGATCGCATAATGAGTTTATACGAGGGATAAGAGGGCACCTTTAAATAGCTCTTAGTTACTCTAACTATACGAAACAAAATAGTCGGAGAAGCCGACTTAGTACTAGAATCATATAACACTCCCATGAACTGAAGGGTAATATCC